TTACAAAGTATATTTTTTATTAAAGTAAAAAAATTATGATAGGAATGGGAAATTTCCAGGTGCAATCTAAAAACTAGGGCGCAGGCATGATGATGAATTTTAAACTAGTCTTAGTTCATTTAAGCATATTTTCAATAAAAATATTAATGTATAGTTATTTATATATGTACAGAGAAAGTGAAAGTTTTTAATTTTTTTTACTAATAAAATAAATGCAAAAGAAAAAGGTAAACAATATTCTCCAATACCTTTAGTGAAAAGTTACAGAGTAAAATTAGTAAATTGTAGTAATTAAATAAGCTTTTGAATATCTGCAAAAAATTATTCAGAATCAGAACAACTTTGTCAAAATTTCTGTGGACTAGGAGTTGACTGTAAGTGAGTTAAAAAAAAAAAAAAAACAATACATTTGAATAAAAAAAGGGGTACTGTGGATTTATTTCTTAGTTTTGTCGTTTAGATTGTTAAATCGATATAACCTAATATCGCGATATAAAAGGGTTGATTATATCGATTTAAGAAATTTCTATATCGTCCAGCCCTAGTGGCTAGCAACAAAAGTATGTGATATCCTCCAAACATTATAGTAAATAAGCTTGCAAATTATATTTTTACTGCTAAACCTAATCCTTTTTTAATAAATTTTTGATTGACTAACTTTATCTGTAAATTATTTTTATTCTTAGCAAAGCACACAAATATTTTTCATTTTATACAGAAAAGAAACCAACTTACTATGAAAAAACTGTACCAGAAGAAATTTTATACAAGTTTAATTAGTTAAAAAAAATCAAACAATGGAATATTATATAATAGAAACATGTTTTATTCTAACCTAATACAAAAGAAAATCATAAATGATCTTATGAAAATACATACTCTACTATCTTTATAAACCGGCTTTATCTCACGGAGCAATGATGAAAATAAAGAAAAAGTATGCTTTCCAAGTATTTTTCTGGTGACCTGTTAATAAAAAAGTGCAAGAATAATATAGATTTAAGCCATTTTAGAGCAATTTGATATCATAATGAAAATAAGATAAAAATGTAAAATTGTTTCACTAAGAAAATAATTTGAATCAAGACATAATAATTCATTTAAATCAAAACATAATGAATATAATAATGAACCATTTGCAAAAATGTAACTAAAAACAATAATACTAACTGATAGTGTTTTTGTAGAGTTGCTCCTCAGACGCAAATCTGAAAAAATTTTGTTTTTTTAGTTAGTCATACAAATTCTGAGAATGATGTCTTTATAAGCAATTTTGTACAAAAAACAGGTTAATTTAGTTAAATAACCGACTTCTAATTTGAACCTTTTAAAAATAAACTTTTTCAGTTCTTCGACACTCAGTATCCTGCATAGTAAATCCCTTTGTAAATAGGATTTGAAATGAAAAGGACATACTTGCAAATATATCAGATGGTTAAGCATCTAAATTAAATTTAAATAATAATTATATGAATAATTGCAAGATTTTAGTCTTTGAACAGTTTTTCTTTCCCCATCCAGTTAAGGTATATTAAGAGTAATTTTAATTATCTCCATATGCATGAAGTTACAAATCACAGTAAGTTAGATAATATTACACATCAGACTATAATAATTTTTCTCATTGAATACTTAGCAATCTAATAAAATTTTAATAACATTAAAAAGCTTAAATTAGGAAAATTTTTTAATATCACAGAAATTTTTTTAATTCAAAGTTAAATGCTCAAAATCTATAAATTTATGTAAATGATTTATTTTATATGCAAATATTTTAAATTAATATACTTTAATACTTAAGATGGAAGTTACAATTATTTAGCAAAATAATGCATTTCTGAAAGTACAGTAATGTCCCGTAGAAAAGCTACACCCACACTCTTGTGTAGGTACTAATGTTATAATAAATACCTGCGCTAACAAAATGTAGTTTTTTTCAAACCGATAAATTTAATTAAAAAATTAAGCAAATAAATTTATTTATTTCTGGCAATTATCGCTTTTTTAAAGATACATGAGGTATTCGATGAATAAAGTAATATAAAAAATAGAATTATTTGATTCATGACAAATCGAACAAAAAAAAATAAATAAATAATAAATATAAAAAGAATAACATAATATAAGAGTTATAGGGAGAGAAAAAATTTATCTCACTCTAAGTTGACCACTAAGCAATGCACTGCAAGTGGTCAACTTACATAGGTTTTACTGTATTATAATTTAAATTAAGAACCTTATAAAATATCAACCATAAATGCCCAAGAATTACCAAAAAGTTTCAAATATTTACAAGTGTTTGACGGATTACGATTTGCATATGTTTCAACAAGTCATTCACAGTAATTTACCTTCCACTTTGTTAACCTAGCAGCTAATTAAATTTTTTCGGATGACGTAGAACATGGTTAATATAAGAAAACATTACGAGAACTGTTAGTTTATGTTTGTTAACAACATTACATTTATAAAACACAGTCATACACAAATTTTAAACATAGAAGTAAAATCAAATATAGCCCAAATAAGAAGTTCAAACTGGAGTTTTGAACAGATTTAATTGAAACATTTGATTTGTTGATAAATTTAAAACATATGTATCGAATATGAAAATATCTATGAGAATAGTGTTATAGTATAACATTCACGAAAAGAAAAAGAAACTTATATCATAGGGTAAATTAGTTTCGAAGAAAAATTTATTTGTTAGATATTAAGCGGCGACTTCTGTACGTTTCAATAAATCCTTTACAGTAATTTACCTTCCATTTTGATTATAACTTCTTAGGAGGGAAATAAAGAGGCTAAAAAAATAAATAACATTCTAAACTGTAAATGTTATTTAACACTCTAATTAAATCATTAAAAACATTAGTCGATTCACCAATCCGTCAACACGAAGACAACCAGACACTTTTGACTTTTTATAAATAAACAACCTGATGCCATCGAAGCAAATTTTGATTCGTAAAACCTCTTTAAACTATTCGACCACGAAGCTCAAGACTCAAACATTGACTGCGCTACCTAGTGAAGTTTTAGAAAAGCTACGAAAGAAGTTCACAGCCGGCAAAACTTTCGTATCTATTGATTTGATTTGCGTGAAAACTCAACGAAATATTATTCAATTTTTATTTAAATGTTTTTACACTTCTTCAAATAACTTTTATTATGAATTTTATATTTTTAAAAGAATCTGGTATTCGGTTCCAATATATACAAATATATGAAAATTAATACGTAAAAATTAATTGATAATTGCAATTAGTTGAAGTATTTAATGAATTTCTTCTTGAAGTATTTAATGAAATTCATTAAATTAGAGTATTTAATGAATTTCTCAGATATGCCGTTCATAGTTGTGTATCACAATAATTATATCCAAATAGTCCAGGATTAGGATCCAGCTATAACATTATACCGTACGCTTTTTTAACTTTGGGGAAACCACTCTTACTTTCTATATAAATCGTACATATGAAAGAAATGAGTGTCAAATGTAAAAACACTGAGTATATTTCAAACTGTGGTGATTTTTCCTCCTCCAGAGCAATAATTTCTCAACGAAAAGAGAAAAAAATTTATTTCAAACTATGTATTACCTATAACTATCGTTGTCATCCACTATGCTCCTAGGTATGGGACAAAGTAAACCACTTGAAAAAAATTAGTTTAGATATTTCAGAGTCAATATGTTTTTAAACTAGTACATACCATAGAAAATTTTATAAGCAGCTTTTATTTTCTAATGAAATGGACCAAATTTCATCTTTATGTATGATTACGCCCGTCCACACAGGCCTCAGTAGGTAGACGGATATCTCCAATCGGAGGATATTAAAAGATTCGAGTGACCTGCAATATCTTCTAATCTTAATCCTATCGAATGCGTACGGGATACTCAGTTGCAGCTTGAAGACCAGATCTAAAGACCATTAATAAGCTCAAAGGAGATTTTGTGCAAGTTTTACAAAAACAGATTTCTGGTCAAATATGGTTATGTATCTGATTTATTTATTTATTTTTTTAGTTGATTAATTTTGTAGTTTATTCAATTTCAGCAATGTGCAAAAGCATGCATATATTTGGGATAATATGTTTATTAAATATTAAAGATATATTTGAATAAATAAACTATAAAAACTTAAATAAAGATACTAGTTTTGTAAAAGGTATCTTTATATCTTCGTGAATCAATCTCTTCAAACATCAACAATGATTTATGATTATCTGAAATGGTGATTTGATGTTTTAAGTCAATCAAAGAGTATGGATAGTTGCCAAATTTTTAATCGTCTTAAAATATCTCAGCTTTAGTCCTAAACGTCATAAGTTTAAAATTAAATTTTTTATCTTTTGGTCACGCATGCTTTGCAGAACTATTCAACCAACTATTTCATTATATTTTCGCATTTTCCAAATTATTCTTTATGCTACCACGTAGATTTTTTCCCCTTAATATAATCAATTTGGCTTCATTCTTATTAGTACTGTAGGGTTGTCTTTAAATGAAACATTCGTTCTTAATAATTGCAGAGTTTCCTAGATCTATTGCCTGTTAGCTGAGAATTAAGCCTCGTTAAGAAATTAAGAATATTTTCTCATTTTAAAATTACTCGGTGCAAAAAGTCAGATTGATTTTATTAATTAAGCGCATCCTTTTTCTTTCCTTTGAAGAATGAACAAATTATTTATTGTTTCTTCTTTGTTTGAGTTATGAAAAGTAAATGCATATTAGTGAAACTCAAAAAACTTTATCAGTTGTTTTTGATTTTAGATAAACAAAATTCGAATTACAATTATATTTTGATGGCAAACTTATTTCACCGCTAACTTTAAAGAAGAAAAAAAAAAGATGACGTTGAAAAAATTTACTTAAAAAGTTGTTAAGGTAATTTTTCAGCTCTAACACAATTCACAAGATATAATTGTAGCATACTTTGTTATCAGGAAAATGCATCGATATGCTTTATTTTGTTAACCAGAAAATACTAAAATTAGAAAATCGAAAAAAGATTTCAAGGCCTTGATATTTTTAGAATTATCATCTCAAATAATTGTTTCTTTTTACTAAAATAAGATATGTTAAGACATTTTTGGATAACAAATTACTTTATAGCTATGTTCTGTTCAGCTAATACTTTTAACCCTTTCACTGGGTATCCAGCGTTTTACACGTGAAACGTGGGATAGATGTAGAAGTTTAATTGTTTATTCAGATCTGGGATAACAGATGATAATAGTTGTCCATAATTTCGTGAATTATATAAGCAGGTTTTGCAACATTTTACGTGCTTTTGAAAATTGAAACTGGCAAAAAAAATTCCCAAAGGAACGCAAATTTGGAGTAAAGATTGCTAGATAGGACTTTGACCTCCAGCCTTGTTTCGAAGTTTATCATACTAAACTTCATTTCATATAAATGTTTTGTAAGTACTTTGCATAATTATATTTGTACATACGTTTTAGCTCTATATTTCCTAAAATAATCATAATTTAACCATTATTTTCAAAACTTTGCTTTTATATGATTATTCTTCAATTTCCATTTTCCGACAACCTTTTTTAATGATATAATTAAAAAAAAACTCTTGAACAAACACTTTTTGAATACTTTAACTCTTAAAAAATATGTATATTTGAAAAATGTAATGAAAAATACGTAATTTTGAAAGAAAAAAAATACGCAGTGAGATTACGAATACAAATTTTTCTTATATTTCGTCGTTAGGAAACGAGAATGCTAATGCTCCATTGAACCTATCAATAATTTCAAAAATCCTAAAATTAAAATAATGCCCTGTTTACCCATGTCATGGATGCGTGCATTAAATCATATAACTTGAATAATTTTAAGCAAGAGAGAAAAATTAAAGGGGGTAAAAAATAAGTTCTATCGAAGTTCGTATAAAGTATACCCTAAAATATATCTGGACTATATTTTGGAATCAATAAATAAAAAATTACATTTTCAAACAATTTTGAATAGGATCGAGATGTTGACCAGTTCGAAATAGCAACTGCGTCATGCGCTTAAAAAATAGGCTCCATTCTCAAGATTCACCAGACGTGAATGAGGAAAACAAAGTTTTTTTGAAACAGAATAAGTATAGTTTCGAAGTTGACAAAAAAAAAATAAAAAAATAGCAACCATATAACGGTGAAAAAAAAAATTACTAACCTCCAATTTATGATCCTATTCTTTCGCAATTTTCTCTATCCTTCCATTTCGAGAGTAAGCAATCGAAATATGCTTAAAAAAAAGTTTATTCAGAGAAAGTACGTTTTTATGTCTGATTTCGTAACTTAAGTAATAGTTAGCACTAATTAATTAGCATATTTGAAGTCACCCCCTGGAACCAATAAGGCTCACGCTTAGTACGTGAAAATCCAATCCTTAGAACAAAAGTTATTAAGGGTGACATTTTTCTTACATACTTCCCTTGTAAGAGGGAAAAAGTATACCCTAAAAGAGGGAAAGAACCATTGTTTTCAAAGTGTTATGAGTCCGAGCTATATGGTAAATCTGAAAGTGAACATAGTGCTACAATTAAATACTATGGAAATTATGGTGATGCTCAATATAGGTTGGTAAATAATACTATTTATTAAATAACATTTTAACAAAACAAATACTTATAGTCTGTCTAAGCTAAGAACTCCTCCCGCCATAAAGTCTGAGGCCGTCTGGAGCTATGGAAACAAGAATGGCGCTTTTTAGGGAGGGTAGAGACCGAAGAAAATGATTCCCTTTCTCCCGCCGACCCGCGCCGAAACCACTCCAAAACTGTGACCCAGCACCCCTGCTTCAAATAGTCATATCTCGTTACCATAGTCACCGCCACAGGTCCAGACGAATGTCTGGAGGAGTTCTTATTTTAGACAAATTATACTAAAGCCATTACGATTCAAACTGCTAAAACTTACCAATTCAAAACAATTCCGAAGACTTTCTACAATTCCTACAAAGTTTACAAAAAATAATTCTTATAAATTTATAAGTTTTGGCTTCGAGTATTATTTAGATAAAATTAATAAACCTATCATAATAATTTCTCTGAGATAACAGCTTCAGATCTTTATTTTTATAAAGTATAAATAGCTCAATACAGAATTCCGAAGAAATGACTAGCACATAAAAATTTTAATAACATTTTTCTCAAAATAGCTGATTAGAATTTGAACGAAAATACACCTGTTTTTTTTTCCCTTCAATATAGACTTTTCCAAACAGAGGGGAAATATATTTATGGCAATTTTATGAAACTTGGCTTCAGAAATTTTAATTTTCAGACGCGCTGGTAGAAGTCAAACTACTTTGATTTGAATCACTAGTATGAACAAGTTCTGACGAAAACACATCCACTGAGGACTCAGAGTCAGAGGATGATGTGCTCCACATATCAGCTACTTTTTGGCGCTCATCCTTTTTCAACAAATCATCGTTCTCTGCTCCATCGCTATCAGAGTCAGACACATACTCAGCTCGATTATAACCGTCCACTTCATCAACATCGACAGTTTGGGTGGAATTTTTAGCAGCATCTGCATACGGAAGGGTAAAACTGTTTCCTTCTGTGAGTACCACACTTCGGTTAGGGTTAACGGAGAAAATGTCGGGGTACTTTTTTAAAAATTCTATGAACTGCGTGCCAGGGTATTTGTCTTCTATAAATTTATAAAGTTGCTTATTTTTGCGTTCTTCCTTCACCAAGCCTCGAAGGTTCATGAAGTCCATGGGAATAATTTGGTACTTTAATATGCTTTTGCAGTAAGTTATAAGCTGAGTTTCTGTGTCAGTAACTTCGGTTGCCATTGGTGTAAATCTATGAAATAGGAAGAAAAACAAAAGTTAATGTCGAAATAAACTAATCTATTAAAAGAAAAAAAGAAATAGCTTAAAGGAATTTTCGCTTAAATTAATACCATACAAGCATTGAAAATTTCTTGTACCTCTTACAGTTTTTGGATAGTCAAAGTTACACTGCTGTTCAAAATTTATGCATAACTGGTAAAATATGGAAGAATGTTAGTAAAAATTTTATTTTATAACCGTCGTTGAACAGCCGACCCAAATTTGGGTTTATGACTACCAATGTTCAACTTCGTAACCTTGTAATTTTGAACCCAATCCAGAAAACAAGGGAACTCCTGGATCAAATATTGGTAGAAATTTGCCTTCGTGGTAGACTTTTTGATGGAACAAACCCGAATTTGCGTTATATTGAGAGAAAAACTCCGAAAACCTTCCTCGGTTAGCTTGATGGCTAGGGGACTCTATGCCATGATCCGTCTACCACTGAGGATATTTCGCATCAGCACTGTGGCTGGTGCGATCTGTGTGCGAAATTCGAATCGACCAGCCATTGCAGGTATTCGAACCCGGTCACCTCATTCGGATGCGAGAGCTCTATCCTCTGCGCCAACACGGCCCCGTGCGTAAATAATGAATATAATTGTCAAAATTCAATGTGGAAAATCACTGTTTGAAGTTGTAGCAGTGTGTGTATGCATAACATTTCACTGAACGTCGGCATGTGCAAAGCACGCGGGCAGATGAAATTTCGCCTGTTTCTACAGAAATGTTTGGAGAACATCCTGTAATCAAAATTTTATTGATTTGCTTATTACTTTGAGTTATTCGATGTCAAAGCTAAAGATCTCTTCTTTGCACTGTGTAATTCAGTTTAACGAAAATTATTAACAGGTGCAAATAGTAATTTTTTCCCCAGTTAAGTACTTATATGTCCTCTTACGTGAGCTCATAAACAACGTTAATTTAAACTGCAGTTTGAAACCTTAGCAATGGAATTAGCAACAGTGGGCCGATGGATGGTTCAGTGACAAACTCGTTGGATAATGATATAGATAGAAGAATTCTCCCCCCCCCCATGAAGCATCCCAACAAAAGAAGTCAACATTATCCTTCAATGGGAGTAAAGGTGTGGGTAGGCACAATGTTGAATGGTTACATAGACCAACATCTCTTTAACAGGGGTCTGTTATTGCTTAAAGGTACAGAAACGAAGTTTTTGAGCCTTACATCCCATTTACACTAGGACTGAAATAAGGCACTTGAAAGCAGTCTTCTAACGCAAAGCAAGTGCTTGTCAAATTTACACCTCCATCTTGCAAGAATAGGTGAAAAATTTATCATGTGAGGCAAGGTGCCAATCATCACGCGCTTGATTCCCGACCTGACAGCGAGATGTCCTCCCCCAACAATGCTTGCCCCAAAGCAAGCTAGGATAGTGGTCGGCAAATTTAGTCAACAGAGCCAATTATCAACAGTCTAACGAGTAAAATCTCTTTCCAGTGCCAAATTTTTGAAATTTAAATCATGAGCCGTGATGGCTCAGGGGATAGAGCCTTCGCCTTCCAATGAGGTGAACCGGGTTCGAATCCCAGTAGATACGAATTCCGCACCGGCTTGCACCGACCACAGTGCTGACGTGAAATATCCTCAGTGGTAGACGGATCATGGGTTAGAGTCCCCTTGCCGTCAGGCTAACCGTAGGAGGTTCTCGTGGTCTTCCTCTCCATGTAACGTAAATGCCGGTTAGTTCAATCAAAAAGTCCTACACGAAGGTAAATTTCTCTCCAATACTTGATTCAGGAGTTCCTTGGTCTTCTGGATTGGGTTCAAAATTACAAGACTACGTAGTTTATTAGTCGTAAATCCAAAAATTGGTCGGTCGTTCAACGACGGTTATAAAAATAAAAAACTTGAATCATGAACCGTGATGGCTCAGGGGATAGAGTTTTCGCCTTCTAATGAGATGAACCGGGATAACAGAGATGGCTGGTCGATACGAGTTCCGCATTTGGCTTGCACGGAACACAGTGCTGATGTAAAATAACCTTAGTGGTAGACGGATCATGGGTTAAAGTCCCCTTAACGTCAGGCTAAACATGGGAGGTTTTCCTCTTCGTGTAACGCAAATGAGGGTTAGTTTCATTAAAAAGTCCTTCACGAAGACGAAATTTCTCCCAATACTTGATCCAGGAGTTCCCTTGTCTTCTGGACTGGGTTCAAAATTATAAGGATACGGAGTTGAACATTTGTAGGTCGCCTGTTCAACGACAATTATAAAATAAAATAATATAAAAACTTAAATAATATTGTTATTCACTAAATTAGGCTTCTCTTATACAGGCTTTTACTATAAGAACAATCTCAAGTGATCAACGAACGTGATCTGAGGTCGACCCTCTTTCAACTCTTCCATTCATGCTTATTTTATATACTCGTTTCGTGTATTTTCTTTCGTACTTTCTCTCTAGATTTTCAAAGCATCTTAACTTTCTTTTTTTAACTCCTTAAAATTAAACTTAATACTTTAATTTTTAAGTCCTAGTTTGTTAAACTATGTAGGTATGTCTTACAAAATTTGTTCTGCACTTAATAGCGATACGATTTATTGATAAAATAAAATTGTAAGGAGGGTATCCAAGAACTTAAATCATGACAATGACGAACAAACACTGTGAACAATGGCCACGCATCTCCAGTGAAAATATGCGCAACTAAGATTTGTATATTGTGTTTAATTTTGAGCGTGATTTCAAGTTCTCGTTAATAGGACGATTTCTCAATTTACTCTTGATAAAGGCCCGAATAAGGAAAGAAAATGAAATGCATAAAACGCAAGGAAAAAAACAAAAACATTGTTGCTGCAAATGGTGATTATTTAGAAATCATTTTTTAATAGCTTTTCTCAGTCGGCAACGGCACATGTTAGCGAACTTTCAATCTAATTTTGAGAGGATAAATTAATTGCTTTTTTTTTTAAAGCAGAACGCAGTAAATACTACTTTCTTATATCCAATAAGTTTTCCTAAATTGATTTTTGACATTGTTGGTCAATTTCGGGATATGCTGTGTGAGCGGAAGACTTCGAGATCGGAAATTTGTATAAATAACCTTCGAAGATTTATGAAAATTGCTTCATATAGATTCTAATCCGTATGCACATTCATCAGGTATGCGCAATCTTTTTTGATAGAGAGCCGAAAAAGCTGAAAAATGAAATGTGTATTCAGATCCTAATTGAATATAGCATGTATATACGTAATAGAATGTAAGTTTAGCAAAAACTGACATCATTTTCCTGCAAGTACACTGGTGGACAAAATTAAGAGATGGAAAGGATTTTCGCACATTCATTCGCACATGCAAGATTCCCGCACACCACTCCATGTGTTTGACAATGGTTCCGTGAATGCCCTGAGGTACAGGTAGGAAGTCCTAGAGCCCTATGTGCGTCTTTTCAGGGCCGCTGTTGGCCCTGAGTTCATTTTTATGGACGACAATGCGGGACCACATAGAGCTCTCATGGTTGATGAGTATCTGGAAAGCGAGGATATTCAACGAATGGACTGGCCAGCCAAATCCCCTGACTTGAATCCTATTGAACATGCTTGGGATGCTCTTGGGAGAGCTATTGCGATGCGCCAACCTCCCCCCCCCAGAACCATTCTGGAGTTAAAAATTGCTCTGGTGGAAGAATGGGAGGGTTTTCCACAAGTCCTCCTTAACTCCCTTATTAACAGCATGCATACTCGTTGTGCATGCTGTCTGTCAGGGGTGACCATACACCATACTAGAGGCAACACACACTGTACAAGCCTCACTTTTATTATCATCTTTTATCCTTAAGTTCAGACTACATTGGATTTATTGGCAATAGGTTATGCCAGCGAATGGCACTTGGTTTTTTGTTTTGCATGCTTTATTATCATGAAATAAGCTATATCCATACCAAATTTTATTTATTTATGTTCAGTATTTTCTTAGATATTTGGGAAAATGTCTTCCATCTCTTAATTTTGTCCACCAGTGTATTAAACTGATAATCATAAATAAACACAATATACAATAAAATGAAAGATACAATCAAGTTCAGGTTTAGCCTAGTACATTAAGTGAATAAAAGAACTATTTAGAAATTTAAAATCACGTTCAGAAAGTAATTATAATTATAAATATTATAACCAGGGGTCTGTCCAGACATTATGTGAAAGGTCCTGTTTTTGTAAAATTGTGAAAAAACTACTCACAATTTGTGAATATAAAATAAGCGTTAAGTCACATTCTTTCAACCAGGGTCCTGCTTTTGTGAATTTTAGAAAATAGGCTCCTATTATTGCAAAAATTGCTGAAAACCTTATCAATAAGTTTTTAAATTGTAAATAGATACAAGATTCTATTCAACAATTGGTGCTACAAAATTAGAGATGCAACATACAAATATTTGGTATTTAGCCTATGCTGCTCAACACAGAATATTCATTTCGAACAAATAATGGAAACAAAATCACTCACATTTTTAATAATTTCAATTGACATATTTTAAATAACACAACTTAGTAATGCATTACTTTTAATGTGTTACGCATTAAGTAAACTTAAACAATTCTCAAATTTATAATATTTTATTTAAAAAATTGCCAGAAATTAATTTTTATTACATAATAATCTATTAATTAATTTCATGAATAATTAATTGATTATGAATCATAAATTGATTAAACATTTATTTAAAAAAAGTATCATTTAATATCAATAAGAATGTGCACACGATATCTGTTAAAGTAGAAATATTTTCTTAGAATACTACATTTGGAATTTAAAATTAGTTCGTTTCGAACCGCCTTTCTTCTTTTTTTTTTAACCCCTAGGTTTTAACTATTCGATTAACATAACAATGATGAAGATAAACAAATTTGTGAAGGGTCCGAATAAAAGATAAATTATTTTGTGAAGGGTCCGTTTTTATGAAAAGATATTTTGTGAAGGGTCCGTTAACGGACCCAAATTTCTTCT